GGTGCACATTCGTTCTCTTAGACTCGATAAGCCAACTCATGTGGATCCCATCATGACACAGACCAACCAACTGACACACAACAGACACCTTCTCACTGTCACCCAGATACCAACTTTCCAACAATGGAACTAGTGCCCTTACTTCAAACGAAATCCTCTTTTAGCAAAAAATTGATTTCATTCATGGTACAAGGATTTATTCAACACTCACGCTCAGAAGTAATTTCAAATATAGTTCGTGCTTACTGCCATAAGCTTGCCCTTATTTTCACTGCTCAGACTCTTCAAACTAGACTCCAGGATCACTATAGGACTTTATTGGCTTGTAACGTAGGCTCAGGGTCAGGTGTGGTACATTTGGGTACTGTTTAGTGACTTTCTGCCCTCCTTGTCATTACACTAGGCTTTTAACCTCTTTTTGCCCTATTTTTGTCATATTATTGTTTTACCGCTTTCCCTTGATTTTCTTCAACCACGGAAGTGACTTTAAATTTTGTAGCTCAATTTCTTTTTATTTAATTGCTCCTTTCTCTTTGAATAATTCACATCATTTCCTTACATTTCCCCCAATTTTTATTTTTGTTCTTTTTTTTTTCTTTTTTTTTTCTCTTTTTTTTTTCCCACTCTTTTCATCCCCATTTTTCTTTCAGTTTCCTCTTTCATAGCCACCCTCAACTTATGGATTTTCCGTTAGTTGAGGTTCACAATACCCGATGTCAAGTCAGGGCCAAGATTGAAGTTACTTTTTACATTAGCCACCCTCAACTTAGGCTTTTGGCCTAAGTCAAAGTGCACATGTCCAAGGAGGGACCGGGGCCAACATAGTAGATTATGGGAAGGTGAGTTCGGGGTTTTAGAAAGAAATGGTTTATTTTTAGGCTCAAAGTTGGATCAAAGGGAACAGTTATTTCATTTGGTTGAATCCTTCTAGGCAATTTATGGGTTTTTCAGAACAACGGCCTATGATCACTTCCTATCTTCTAGATTGAATTGTCTTAGCAGGACTAACCGGGCAAGTTCTAGTTTTGCACAAAACTGTTTGAACAATCAATGATTCTCACCCACTCTTGGCACAAGTTTCATTATCAGATTATCAGACTACCCAGTTCAAGTTTCAGGTTTAATCATGCAATCAAGTCGATTGTTACTATGTCATACTCAGAGCCAACACAATCAGCAACTCGTAGCCTACTTCTAGCATACAACTCAGAATCTGACGGGTATCATTTTTCCTAAGCCATCATGCTTCGTTTTGTATCATGCTTCTACACACACAATCCTAAGACATGCCGGTTCAACAAAAATTAAACAGTCTCTTGGGGCAAAAGAACACAGGCAAGAAAACCCCAAGAGAGGATACATGAGTTGGGTTACTCAGGCTTCACCCTATCACTCACGATCCATTTACCCCACCCCCAACAAAAATAGATGCAATTTTCCACAATGCATACATAGACAGTAAAAGTGAATGGATTTGAGTAAAGCAAACATATGGCGCAAAGCGCCGGCGAATCATCAACAAGCAGGGGGATCTGGTTTCCCGGAGCCCTCTGGAACATCAGTGGGGGCACCCTCAGTAGTGCCCACCTCAGCACTCCTAGCACCCTCAGTTGTGCGCTCTATCAAACGCTCCGCACCATCAGTGGTGCTCGCAACGCCTCTCAAAATAGGCTGATCCTCTATAACCGGGGCAGAGCTCGATGCCCTTGCAGCTCTGTCACTCACCCTCTGCTGGTGCAACTCTTCATCTGCAATCGAGGCCCTCCTAGCCTCCTTCTCTTGCCGACACTGTCTCTTTTGAGCTTTCTCTTCCTCTGTGCGATGAGAGCGGTGCTGCTTGCCCTTGGCATGTGTCGGTGCAGGCCCCTCCTCGGCGATGCCACTGAATAGAGCATCTAGCACTGTATCATCAGCCAGCGCAGTAGGGGCAGCCTGAGTCTCAACTGAAGGTGCAGCAAGAATGACATCTACATCAGTCCGGAGGCTGGCTATGTCAGCCTGCAAAGCAGATAAGTCTGTGGCCGAAACTGATCGCTCGAGGACTCGCAACTCAAAGGCGTCAAGCCGCTTATTAACAGCCAGGACCTTACGGTCCATCATCCCCTCCATCCTGCACTCCAATCTAGCCTCGGACTCGGCAATTGACTTTTGCATCCAAGGCTGGATGTGATGCAGCAGTGTGGCCATCTGCGCCTCTAACTTTTGTACTTTGGCCATCGGGACAACCGTCGCTCCTAACGGTGGTGTAGACCGGGAAGAACTAGAAGCAACACAAGCTGCCTGAGAAGAGGAGCCTGGGACAGTGTCGGTGTGGTCTGGGATAATGGGGTCACCGCCTTGTGCCTGCCCCACAGTGTCTGCAAGATCGGAGCTTAAGGGGGTACCTCAATCTGGGGCTTTCTGCTAGGTGCTGCCACATTCGCGTCATCCCGAATAAGGCCGATGTCCAATGCCCCTGTAGGGTGGACTAGCCTGTCACAATGCCAGATCGGCACTCCAGAGTCCCTTCACAAGTGAAATATCAGACAAGGGAAAGGGTAAGTAGTGGAGGTCCTGAAAGCTCTCTCGTGAATCTCTGCCAGCAGCATTCGGGCAAAGTGGATCTCTACTCCCGCCACCAATGCAGCAACCATCACCGCTCTATCCCAAGTGACCTGATTGTCAGCTTTTGTGGGCGACACTCTGTTGCGTACCAACAGCCAGAAGAATTTTTCTACGAAGTTCAATGTGGCCTTCCGGATGCCCAACCGTGGAGCAGCGACCCATTCTGCTCGCTCTCCATTTGCAGCAATGTACCTGGCCAGCCATAGTATCACAGCCTGATAGCATCCAAGGAAGCTCTACTCCATTGAAGGACAAGGATGACGCTTTAGAAACTCCAAGGAGGCCCATAACAAGATCTCAAACCAAGGAGTTCAATGATAAGCTCAATGGGCTTCAATCGCTGATCCAAAGGTTTCTTATTGGGGAAGAAGAGCTCAAGCCCAAGGGAGAGGAATTGTCCAAATGCTACAATTATTTGGTGGCCCAAATTCAAGCCCAAGATGAGGAATTTTAAGGTCCAATTTCGTGCAAAAAAGGTCAAGAAGAGTCCAAGAATCAGCCACAACAAGAGTTGCTTTCTGCCCAAGTTTTGAGAGAAGACTAGTCAAACTTTCCAAGATTGTCAAGATTCTTTTCCTAGTTGGGATTTACCTTATTTATTTATTTATATATAGGTTATTAATATTTTCCTTAGTCTATTTATGGTCTCCTAAGTACCATTTAATGCTTTCCTAGAAGTACTAAATTTGTTCCTAGTTAGGTTACTTTATTTCCTTTCTAGAGTAGGATTCCTTGTAATTGTTTTTTTTAGGGTTTGGCTTCTTGGACGTTTTTCCCTTCTCCTATATATAGGAGTCCTTTTCATTCATTAAAGACAATTTAGATTGATATTAAGAATATTTGAGAGAGTTCTTTGAACCTTTGTGACTTGTTCTTTGAGAATTTATCTTTAAACCTTTACTAGTTTCATAGTTTAAGGTATAAAGTAACTTCTTCTTGTGATATCTTTGGTTTCTTTTTGGTATTCTTTAGAAGGTGATTAGTTTCTACATACTAATTATTGTCTTTAGTTACTCATAAAGCGGTCAAGATCCGAATCTATCGTTTTGATTCGTTTTCTCAAGTAAAGGCGTTAGATTTCTTCCATAAATCTATACGTTGTTACTTGGATCTTTTCAAGGCCTTAGAACATCTAATCTTTGGAAATTCGTGGATCTTTCCTTCGAATTTCCCATATCTTTATTTAGTTTTTTTTGTTTCTTTTCTTTGTGCTTCCGCATTCTAATATTTAATTCTCTATGTGTGATCTCCCTTAACCTTGTTGTTATCAAGTGGTATCAGAGCGGTTCTATCAAGATTCCGTTCTTGATAAATCTTGGGATTTCTTCTTAGAGCAACAACAAAAAAAAAAAAAAAAAAAAAAAAAATTGCGTGAACAGTAGCGTCGTGAAAAATAAAAATAAAAATAAATTATTACAGTTGCGTGAACAGAAAAAAAAAAGTTATAACTTGCTCTCAAAGAAATCTGATTACTTGTCCTCCAAGAAATTTGATTACTTGATACCCAAGAAAGCTTATTACTTGCTATTCAAGAAATCTTATTACTTGCTCTCCAAGTAAACTTATTACTTGCTCTCCAAGTTTTGCATTAATTTGTTTCCAAGCAAGAAGGTAGCAAGAAGAGGGGATTCCAGACCTTTAAGAATAAGAGGAATTTTTTTTTTTCTTGTTCTTATAATTCTAAAATAAGTTCCTTTTTATTCGCGTTTTGTTTCAACTAAATCCTACTTGTTCTAGGACTAGTTCTTTACTTTCTTTTGTACCCCAAGATTCCATACTTTATTACTACGAACTTGATACACGTTTTGGTTTAATTATAAATCTACAAAGTATTCTCGTTCAAAGGTGATTTTTTGTGGAAAAAGGCAAGTGTGGGTGAGTTTAAAAGAGGGTAAAAGCCATATTAAAAGTGTGATACTTGATCATTTATTCTTTTTTTTTTTTAGATGTCTAATTCAGGTGGTGATGAGGAAAGGGCTCGTTTAGAAACCGAGGTCAAAGGAAGGAACGACTTCACCCTTCAAGCTATGCACCAACAATTTGAGAGATGGACCCTTCAATTTCAAGAGATGAGGGATATGATTATCGAGCAGAATGACACCATAGCTGCAATTAGGAGGGAGAATAATGTTGTACCCCCAAATAATGTTAGACCCCAAGTTAGAAGGAATGTACCCCATATCCCTTTTGTAAATCCTAAATATGATAATGATGATTTTGATGTTGAATTTAATCTAGAAAGAAGAGATAGGAGGGGACAAAGAGGTAGAGTAGAAGATGATAATATAAATAGTATAAAGATGAAGATGCCATCTTTCAAGGGGACAAGGGATCCAGACTTGTACCTTGATTGGGAGAGACGAGTTGAAGCCATCTTTGATTGCCATAACTACTCTGAGGGTAAGAAAGTTAAACTTGCTATTGTTGAGTTTTCTGATTATGCTGCTTCTTGGTGGAAAAAGCTTGCTAGGGACAGATTGCAAGAGGAGCTACCACCTATTGCTACGTGGGCAGAGATGAAGAGGGTAATGAGGAAGCGATTTATTCCATCATACTTCCAAAGAGATCTACAATCTCGCCTTCAACGCTTGAAGCAAGGCTCCATGTCGGTGGATGAGTACTTCAAAAGCATGGATATGGCTATGATCCAAGCTAACTGCATGGAGGAAGAAGAGGCTACAATAGCTAGATTTTTAAATGGTTTAAATACAGAAATAGCTAATGTAGTAGAGATACAACAATATGTAACTTTAGATGAGTTAGTTGATTTGTCTGTAAAAGTTGAAAAACAAATTGAGAAAAAGCAGCAAAATAACTCATGGAGAAGTCGACCAAACACTATCTCTAAGAAGCCATGGTCAACTCAAGAGGGGAAAGCTCCTTCCAAACCTCAAGATGATAGAGGTAAAGGTAAGGTTGAGGAGGGAGGTAAAACCTTTAATCCTAAATCTTCTAAACCTTCAAGTTCTATTCAATGTCACAAATGTCATGGAAGGGGGCATATGATGCATGAATGTCCAAGTAGAAGAAACATCCTACTTAGAGAGAATGGAGAATATGAGAGTGAAAAAAGTGAGGGGGAAGAAGAAGAGGGAGAAGGTGTAAGTGAGGAAGATGATTTGGAACTGCCTAATGATGGTATAATTGGGGTGGTTAGGAGAATTATGACTATCAATTTGGGTAGTGTTGATGAAGGGCAGAGAGAGAATTTGTTTCATACTAGGTGTGGGATAAAAGGGAAGACTTATTCTATGATTATTGATGGGGGAAGTTGTGCAAATGTGGTGAGTTCATACTTGGTGGATAAACTAGGAATTGCATGCATGAAGCGCTCTACCCCATATAGGCTCCAATGGTTGAATGATTGTGGAGAAGTAAAAGTAAACAAACAATGCATGATTTCATTCAATGTTGGTAGGTATGAAGATGAGATTCTTTGTGATGTAGTTCCAATGCAAGCATGTCATGTTTTACTTGGCCGACCTTGGCAGTATGATAGGGATACTACTCATCATGGGAGAAAGAATAGGTATAGTCTTCTGCATAATGGTAAGAAGTATACTCTTGCACCATTATCTCCTTCTCAAGTGTTTGAAGATCAAAAACGATTGAGGGAAACAATGGGAAAACAAAAGGGAGAGGTAAAAAGTGAGCTTGAGGGAAAAGAAAAAGGCCAAGAGATAGAAAAAAAGAGAGATGGCCGAGAGAAAGAGAGAGAGGGCAGCGATCTAAGTAAAGAGGTAAAAGAGGGTGTGAGTAAAAAAATAAAATGTTTTGGTGAGAGGAAAGAGGCTAAGGAAAAGAAAAATGAGAGCCTTTATATAAAAGCCAAAGAGTGTTTGAATGCTAGGAGAGAGGGACTACCCATAATACTACTTACTTACAAAGAAGTATTGATTAATTTTGAACAACTAACTCCTTCTTTGCCAAATAGTGTTTCTTCTCTTTTGCAGAATTTTGAAGATGTTTTTCCTGATGACACTCCAAAGGGATTGCCACCTTTGAGAGGGATTGAGCACCAAATAGACTTTGTGCCTGGGTCTCAACTTCCTAATAGGCCTGCCTATAGGAGCAATCCTGAAGAGACCAAAGAATTACAACGGCAAGTTGAAGAATTGCTTGTAAAGGGATTTGTTCGAGAGAGTATGAGCCCATGCTCTGTTCCAGTCCTATTGGTCCCCAAAAAGGATGGAACATGGAGGATGTGTGTAGATTGTCGAGCCATCAACAAGATAACGGTAAAGTATCGCCATCCTATCCCTCGTCTTGATGACATGTTGGACCAACTGTATGGTTCCAAAATCTTTTCTAAAATTGATCTAAAGAGTGGTTACCATCAGATTCGTATGAATCCTGGAGATGAATGGAAAACTGCTTTTAAGACCAAATATGGACTTTATGAGTGGTTAGTTATGCCCTTTGGCTTGACTAATGCACCAAGCACTTTTATGAGACTAATGAATCATGTTTTTAAAGATTTCCATGGAAAATTTATTGTGGTGTATTTTGATGACATCTTGATCTTTTCTCAAAATCTGGATGAACACCTAGAGCACTTAAAACAAGTTTTTGAAGTTCTTAGAAATCAGCGCTTATTTGCTAATCTCAACAAGTGTGCTTTCTGTGTGGATCGTGTGGTTTTCTTAGGGTTTGTGGTCAGTTCTAAGGGAGTTGAAGTAGATGATGAGAAAATCAAGGCAATAAAAGAATGGCCTAAACCTAATAGTGTAACTGAAGTTAGGAGTTTTCATGGACTTGCTAGTTTTTATAGGAGGTTTGTGCGAGACTTTAGCACCATTGCTGCTCCTTTAACTGAAGTTATAAAAAAAGATAAGGTTTTTACATGGGGAAAGGAACAAGATGATGCATTTAACTTGCTGAAGGATAAATTGTGTTCTGCGCCTCTTTTGCAATTGCCTGATTTTTCTAAGTCTTTTGAAGTTGAGTGTGATGCCTCTGGTAAGGGCATAGGTGCAGTTTTGATGCAAGACTCCAAGCCAATTGCCTACTTTAGTGAAAAGCTAAGTGGAGCAACATTGAACTACTCAACTTATGATAAAGAGCTATATGCCTTGGTGAGGGCGTTAGCTACATGGCAGCACTACTTGTGGCCTCGAGAATTTGTGGTCAACACTGATAATGAGTCATTAAAATACTTGAAGAGCCAAGGTAAACTTAGTCGTAGGCATGCTAAATGGGTAGAGTTTATTGAAACTTTTCCTTATGTAATTGCTTACAAACAAGGAAAGGAGAATGTGGTTGCTGATGCACTCTCAAGAAGGTATGTTTTGATCTCTACTCTTACTTCAAAGTTATTGGGTTTTGACCAAATCAAGTTCCTCTATGCTAATGATTCTGATTTTGGTGAGATTTTTGCTGAATGTAAGTTAGGTCCTTTTGAGAAATTTAATCTTCAAGATGAATTTCTATTCAAGGAAAATAAATTATGTGTTCCTAACTGCTCGTTGCGTGAACTATTTGTTAGGGAAGCACATTGTGGAGGGCTAATGGGACATTTTGGTGTACCCAAAACACTGGAAATACTTTCTGAACATTTTTATTGGCCTAGCATGAGAAAGGATGTTGAAAAAGTGTGTTCTTATTGTCTTGAATGTAAATAGGCTAAGTCTAGAACATTGTCGCATGGTCTTTATACTCCTTTACCTGTTTCTAATTCCCCTTGGATTGATATTTCTATGGATTTCATATTGGGGCTGCCAAGGACTAAGTATGGTAAGGATAGTATATTTGTGGTAGTAGATAGATTTTCTAAAATGGCTCGTTTTATCCCATGTAAAAAGACTAATGATGCATCTCATGTGGCTGACTTGTTTGTAAAGGAAGTGGTTAAATTGCATGGAATACCTAGAACTATTGTTAGCGATAGGGATGCCAAGTTCTTAAGTCACTTTTGGAGAATTCTTTGGGGAAAGTTGGGAACTAAATTGCTATTTTCTACATCTTGTCACCCACAAACGGACGGGCAAACGGAAGTGGTTAATAGAACTTTAGGGAACATGTTGAGGGCTATTTTGAAAGGAAAGTTGACTTCTTGGGAAGATTACTTACCTATTGTAGAATTTGCTTATAATAGGACCTTCCATTCTTCTACTGGTAAGACTCCTTTTGAAGTTGTATATGGATTCAACCCCCTTACCCCCCTTGATTTATTGCCTTTGCCTACTAATGATTTTGCTAATCTTGATGGTAAGAAGAAGGCTGATATGATGAAGAAAATTCATGAACAAACAAGGCTTGCAATTGAAAAGAAGAACAAGGAAGTTGCATTGCGAAGGAATAAGGGCAGAAAATATGTTGTTTTTAAACCTGGTGACTTGGTTTGGGTGCATATGCGAAAGGAAAGATTTCCTTCCAAAAGAAAGACCAAACTAGATCCTAGAGGAAGTGGGCCATACAAAGTCCTTGAAAGGATTGGAGACAATGCTTATAAACTTGATCTTCCTGGTGAGTTCCAAGTTAGTGCTACTTTTAATGTTTCTGATCTTTCCCATTTTGATGCAGATTTGAATTCGAGGACGAATTCTCTTCAAGAAGAGGGGAATGATAGCATCCAAGGAAGCTCTACTCCATTGAAGGACAAGGATGACGCTTTAGAAACTCCAAGGAGGCCCATAACAAGATCTCAAACCAAGGAGTTCAATGATAAGCTCAATGGGCTTCAATCGCTGATCCAAAGGTTTCTTATTGGGGAAGAAGAGCTCAAGCCCAAGGGAGAGGAATTGTCCAAATGCTACAATTATTTGGTGGCCCAAATTCAAGCCCAAGATGAGGAATTTTAAGGTCCAATTTCGTGCAAAAAAGGTCAAGAAGAGTCCAAGAATCAGCCACAACAAGAGTTGCTTTCTGCCCAAGTTTTGAGAGAAGACTAGTCAAACTTTCCAAGATTGTCAAGATTCTTTTCCTAGTTGGGATTTACCTTATTTATTTATTTATATATAGGTTATTAATATTTTCCTTAGTCTATTTATGGTCTCCTAAGTACCATTTAATGATTTCCTAGAAGTACTAAATTTGTTCCTAGTTAGGTTACTTTATTTCCTTTCTAGAGTAGGATTCCTTGTAATTGTTTTTTTTAGGGTTTGGCTTCTTGGACATTTTTCCCTTCTCCTATATATAGGAGTCCTTTTCATTCATTAAAGACAATTTAGATTGATATTAAGAATATTTGAGAGAGTTCTTTGAACCTTTGTGACTTGTTCTTTGAGAATTTATCTTTAAACCTTTACTAGTTTCATAGTTTAAGGTATAAAGTAACTTCTTCTTGTGATATCTTTGGTTTCTTTTTGGTATTCTTTAGAAGGTGATTAGTTTCTACATACTAATTATTGTCTTTAGTTACTCATAAAGCGGTCAAGATCCGAATCTATCATTTTGATTCGTTTTCTCAAGTAAAGGCGTTAGATTTCTTCCATAAATCTATACGTTGTTACTTGGATCTTTTCAAGGCCTTAGAACATCTAATCTTTGGAAATTCGTGGATCTTTCCTTCGAATTTCCCATATCTTTATTTAGTTTTTTTTGTTTCTTTTCTTTGTGCTTCCGCATTCTAATATTTAATTCTCTATGTGTGATCTCCCTTAACCTTGTTGTTATCACAGCCTCTCGCTGCTCAGTATTCCTCTGGAAAGTGCCACTCTGCACGATGTCCCAGCGGTAATCAAATTGCGACGTGTTAGGAGACCAAGATTGGCCCGTGGTAGGACCATAGAGAAAACGGCTAATGGTGGCGGGTGATATGTCCACCGGACACCCTCGAACCAAGGTGGAAGTGAGCGGGGCCTGCGCTAGTGGCTTTGACCGCTTGGAAATGGACTCGCGGAGAGTGGCAGCATAGGAAGCATAGAACTCCCGGACAATCTCCTCGCTATACTTCCCTGGGTCTCGAGCCATCCAGTCACACTTGTGAAGTTTGAACAGCCGGTGAATATCTGGCACAGTATGCAAGATCCCCGTGAGGACTCTGCGCTCCTCTTGTATTAATCGGGCCATTTTTTGTTTGTCATTCACCATCTTTGCATCCCGATAGATTTGCCATTGACCCTCGACACACCACCTATTTAGCTCCCCTGCTACCGGAGCGGGTTCATCATTCCTTGGTGCAGGAATGGCCTCTGAACTAGTTGACTCATCAGACGAGGCTGCTTGGTCATTCTCTCCAGACCTTGTGGACGATTTGGCGTTGGACCCTGTAGCATGGACAGACTCTGATTGTGATGATTGGGAGCCTAAGGCATGGGTAGACTCGGATCCGGACATAGGTCCCTCCGAACTGGAAGCAGCCCCAGTTGGTGACCCGATCAGTGTGTGCTCCTCATCAGACTAGGAGACAGTGACTACGTCGGGGATCACCTTCCGGGGGGTGCTCCTGGGTGCTGCGCGAGAGGCCCTAGGGTTGAGAGGCACATATGTGGGGTCAGAGTCATTCTCGGTGTCCTCATCAATCAACCGGAAGCTAGGGGCAACCGATTTGGACTTGCTCCGTTTCGAGTAGGTGACCATCTTCTTGGGTGCCATCGTACCTGCAGGAATGTCATTAGTGCCAAAACTAACCATATGCAACAAAAGAACTTATTTAGAGTTGGTAACGACCCAAACTAAGTCCACAAAAAAAAATGACAGATGCTACAGAAGTCATCCACGGAGGAGACCTACGGTCCGTAGACTGATCTACGGTCCGTGGATCTCTTCCGTGGATTAGGGTGCCTGAAATAAAGGTCGCAGATGAAAACCACGGAAGTACAGAACGGTCCGTAGATGGATCTACGGACCGTAGTCCACATCCGTGGTTTTACACTTGGTGAAAATTTGCAGGTGCATCAAATGACGAACCCCATCTACGGTCCGTAGATGGATCTACGGTCCGTAGACGGGGTATCGTGGAAGCAATCAGTGCCAGGTATCATACATTGTTGGCTTTTGGTTTCAACATTAACACAACCTAATCATGCATATACACAATTCATATATGTTAGTTCGTCATTCTTAAGATTCCGACCGATTATTATACCCAACAATTTAGACTAGATGTGGAACCCTAAGTCGAAACTAGCATATAGTATTTACGATCACATAAACTCACATCACAATTAAAGCTATACAATCACTATCTATCATTCCAAGGGCATTGTACTATTCAAGTTTATCATGCAATTTCATCTAACAATTACCCAAGGTCAAGACCCACTCCCGACCCTCTATATTCAATCTATGAATTGAAATTCAAAGTGAAGAGAAAGTCTATTACCTTACAAGCAACAAGGAGTGGGGTGATTGTGTGATGGTACTATGATTTAGCAAGACCAATGAGTCACCTTTTCGTCACTGACCAAACACCAGACCCTTTTTATCAGATTATGGAGTGGGTTGATTATGGTATGGAAAGGGTTTTGGGAATGTATGGAAGGGAGGATATTATGTGGTGGTTAAGGAGTGATTTGGGAGTTTAAAGAGTGGGTGAAACGGTTGTGGGAGCAATGGAGGGAAGGGAAATGATTTGAAACAATGGGGGTTTTAAGTAATGGGGGTCCGGGTCGGGTCAGTCAACTGTAAGGTGTGGACTCACGAGACCCCGTCTACGGTCCGTGAGTCGATCTACGGTCCGTAGATCAGGACCGTAGATCACAATTATACTAGGACAATGTTAGGGACTTACCTGGGATCTACGGATACCATTGACGGTCCGTGGATCAATCAACGGACCGTCGATGGGGTCTGTAGACCTCTGCACCAGACCATTTTCTGCAGATTTCTTGCGTGGTGTACCTGCACATGAAGCAACCAATAGGCTATTTTTTTTACATTTTCTGGACACTTTTTAGACACGGACCCTATATTACTTCTAGCCAACACTAAGAACTAAAATATTGAAACCCCTACCTACATTGATACAAAAACGCAAGTAATCAAAGAAAGCTAAACTACATAATGTAAAACAGAACCCTATTGTTGGCTAGATTTTACATCTTGGGTTGCCTCCCAAGCAGCGCTTGATTTAACGTCGCGGCACGACGCATGTATCTTGATTATTCAGACTTCATCAGATTGCAGGCCTCAATCACTTCTTGCACAGTTTCATCATTTCCCAGATAGATCTTTATCCTTTGCCCGTTCACCACAAACCTTGTTCCATCCTTATTTTCAAGCTCAACCGCTCCATGCGAGAGCACTTTTGTGAGCAAAAATGGCCCAGTCCACTTGGACTTGAGTTTGCCTGGAAACAAGCGCAACCTAGAGTTGAATAGCAGCACACGATCGCCAACCACAAATTCTCGCTTTTCAATTCTTTGATCATGATACCTCTTCATCTTCTCTTTGTATAAGACTGAACTTTCATAAGCTTTTAGGCGAAACTCATCAAGCACGTTCAAGTCGTTCATCCTTTGATTAGATGCAGTGCCCCAATCCAAATTTAACTTCTTCATTGCCCACATAGCTTTGTGCTCTAACTCTACTGGTAAATGACAAGACTTCCCATATACAAGTTGGTAAGGCGACATACCTATGGGGGTCTTGTATGCAGTGCGATATGCCCATAGAGCATCATCAAGCTTCCTTGACCAATCAGTTCGATTGGCGTTCACAGTCTTCGCCAATATCTGCTTTATTTCTCTGTTGGACACCTCAACTTGACCGCTAGTCTGTGGATGATAGGAGTGGCTACATTGTGACGGACACCATATTTCTCAAGTAGTGTTTTGAACAACTTGTTACAAAAGTGAGAGCCTCCATCGCTAATAACAGCCCTTGGTGTACCAAATCTGGAGAAGATATTCTTTTTCAAGAATGCGGTGACACTTTTCCTTCGTTGTTGGGGAGTGCTACTGCTTCCACCCACTTCGATACATAATCAACCGCGACCAGAATATATTTCATCCCATATGAACTCACAAATGGGCCCATGAAATCAATGCCCCATACATCAAACAATTCGATCACCAATATGGGATTCATAGGGAGCTCTTGTCTCTTTGAAATCCCTCCATCTCTTTGGCACCGATCACAAGACTTGGCGAAATCATGAGCATCTTGGTGGATGGTAGGCCAATAGTACCCACACTGCAAAATCTTATGTGCAGTCCGAATACCACTATGATGCCCACCAACGGGTGATGAATGACATGCTTCAAGTACACTCAACATTTCAACCTCAGGCACACAGCGACGAATAATCCCATCAGCACAACTACGATACAAATAAGGTTCATCCCAAAAGAATTTCTTCACATCATGCATAAATTTCTTTCTTTGGTGAAAAGACAAATCGGGTGGCACAATGTCGCTTGCCAAATAATTAGCAAAGTCTGCGAACCAAGGAATCAAATCATTAGAAGCAGCCAATACCTGTTCATCTGGAAACGCATCATTAATTTCAGCCCTATCTCCAAGCTTTAGCATGGCCTCTTCCTCTAATCTGGACAAGTGGTCGGCAACTTGATTTTCGGTTCCCTTTCTATCTTTTACCACAAAATCAAACTCTTGCAGCAACAATACCCATCTGATCAATCGTGGTTTTGCATCCTTTTTCGCCATCAAATACCTCAATGCAGAATGGTCAGTATGCACGATGACCTTAGTACCAAGCAAGTAGGAACGAAATTTTTGAATGCAAAAACCACCGCAAGAAGTTCTTGTTCGGTCACTGTATAATTCTTCTGGGCCACATTCAGAGCTTTGCTAGCATAGTAAATAGGGTGAAGAATTTTCTCACGCCTTTGACCCAATACTACACCAAGCGCCACTCCACTCGCATCACACATTACCTCAAACGGTTGTTCCCAATATGGTGAAATAATGATAGGTGTTGTAACCAACTTTTCCTTCAACTGTCCAAATGCTCTAAGACAAGCATCATCAAAGCAGAACTTATTCTCCTTCTCGAGCAGTTTGCACAAGGGATGTGCAATTTTTGAGAAATCTTTGATGAATCTCCTATAAAAACCTCCATGCCCAAGAAAACTTCTAACACCTTTTACAGAGATAGGTGGTGGAAGCTTTTCTATTACCTCGACTTTAGCTCTATCAACCTCAATACCTTTCTCTGAAATTCGATGACCCAACACTATACCTTCTTTTACCATGAAATGACATTTCTCCCAATTCAGCACCAAGTTGCAGTCTTCACATCTTTTGAGCACCTCGGCCAGATGTTTTAGACAGTGATCAAACGAATCACCTACCACTGAAAAATCATCCATGAACACCTCAATAGTGTCCTCCACCATATCAGAAAATATCGACATCATACATCTCTGGAAGGTCGCTGGAGCATTGCACAATCCGAATGGCATTCGTTTGAAGCAAAAGTCCCATATGGGCAAGTGAAGGTGGTCTTCTCTTGGTCTTCTGGAGCTATAGAAATTTGATTGTAGCCCGAATACCCATCAAGAAAACAATACCAACCCTTGCCTGCAAGTCTATCTAACATCTGATCAATGAATGGCATAGGGAAGTGGTCTTTCTCTATCCACGCATTCAACTTCCGGTAATCCATGCAAACTCTCCATCCAGTGACAGGCCTCATTGGAACAAGCTCATTTCTTTCATTTGGAACCACAGTCATACCACCTTTTTTAGGTACACACTGCACAGGACACACCCAATTACTATCTGAGATGGGTAAATAACTCCCGCATCCAGCCACTTGATGATCTCCTTTTTGACTACCTCTTGCATAGGTGGATTTAATCTTCTCTGGTGCTCAACACTAGGCTTATGATTGGCATGAGTTGGATTTTGTGAGAACAAATACCGGGGGGAATCCCAATAATATCTGCAATAGTCCACCCAATCGCTCGCTTAACTTCTTTAATACAGTCACCAAACACTCTACTTACCTTGCATTCAAATCTGCTGCAATGATGACCGGCAAAGTATTCTCTTCGCCTAAATATACATACCTCAAGTGCGGTGGTAGAGTTTAAGCTCTAATTTCGGTGCCTCCACAATAGATGGTCTTGTGGGTGGGGACTCGTGATTCTTCATGTCTAGCTCATACTTCTTTGGTTTGGACCGGTATTCACACTTATCAAGTGCGGCTACCAACTCATCATATTCTTCAATACCATCACTACCAAATTCATCATGACTGTGCTATGCCTCAACACCTAATCGCTCTTCAATTTGCACTTCTGACCCACTATCCACTCTGTAAGTTATAGCAGATACTGTTTGTAGCTCACCATTCTGTTCATGGATCTACAGATATTGAAAGTTGCTTTTTCATTGTTCAGTCTGAACTTCATCTGTCCCTTTTCCATATCAACCAACGCACGCCCTGTGGCAAGAAATGGTCTCCCAAGGATGATGGGAACCTCAAAATCAACCTCACAGTCAAGGATCACAAAATCCGCCAGAAAGATGAAAGACTCTACTTTCACTAGCACATCATGGAGCACACCTATGGGCCTCTTCACAGTCCGATCAGCCATCAGTAACCGCATTGCAGTGGGCTTTGGATCCCCTAGACCCAACTTCTTGTAAATAGATAAAGGCATGAGGTTGATGCTAGCACCAAGATCACACAATGCCTTAGCAAAGTGTAATAACCCTATAGTACATAGGATCGTGAAAGCACCAAGGTCTTCCTTCTTCTGCACCAGAGATCTTGTAGCAATAACACTACAATGCTACAATCTATCATCATCTTCAAAACTCACAGACCTTTTCTTTGTCACCATATCTTTCATGAATTTTGCATATCCAGGCATTTGCTCCAAGTCTTCTATCAAAGGGACATTGATAGAAAGTTGCTTCAACATAGTGATAAACCTGCGATATTTCCCGTCTTCAGTCTTCTTCACTAACCTTTGAGGAAAAGGTGGTGGAGGTCTAGGTATGGGAACCACTTTCTGAGGTACCTCCACTTCTTGTTCTGTCACAACCTCTGACTCCTCTCTAACTTTCACCACATCATCTTCTTTTCTATTCTCAACTTCTACCACAGACGGCATAGGTGGATCTATGGTTTGCTTACCTCCTCAAGTGGTAATTGCCATACAATGTCCATCATTCTTTGGATTCTGGATGGTGTTGCTAGGAAGAGTGCTAGGTTAACGCGGGTTCACTGTAGTAGACAACTGCGTCATCTGCTGCTCTAGATGCTTTATTGACACTGCATGGGCATCAACCTTTTGACCAATACCAGATAAGTCGTTTCTCATCTCCTTCACATTCTTATCATAGCATCAAACCTTCTCATCATCTTTGCAGCATATCTTCAATACGCGTCATATTACCTCCAACTTCCCTAGCACCAGATTCCCGATTTTGAGGGGGAACATAGGGTCCAACCCGATCGTTTCTGTTGCCATAGTTGTTCATGTTGTAGTTGTTGTCGCGATTGAAGTTCCCATCTCGGACATAGTGACCCTCTCGGTTGTAATTTCCATAGTTCCGACCTTGGTTCCCTTGACCTTGGCACCAATTTTCCGTGTTGGATCCTTGGGCG